AAGGGCTAGCCTCCCATGGCTCCTGAGCCAAGCAAGGAAGGAAAGAGGGAGACTAGTGGAAGAAAAGTTCCATATTCCCATCTACTGTCCTATTCTGCAGGGCTGGAAGATTCAGGCCTAGGGTTAGGGAGAGGCTTCCTCAAGGGTTGAGGGAACAGCTCCCAATAGGAGGAAGACAGCAGATAGCTCTGCTCTGACCGCTGATCTGTTTCGCTACCCTCATCTAATTCTCTGTCCTTCAACTAGTGAACTAGCCCAGTGGTAAAATGAACAAGAGATGTGGGAGCTTTCCCTAGAATGGACAGACAAATAAGTCATTCTCTAAACAATTACTATGGACCAGGTAGTTTAAAAACATTTAAACTACCATATCCTTCCAATAGCAATCCATCCATTAACCTGGCAAGGTAGATACTGTTTTATCCTCTTTCATAGGTGGGGAAGCCATGTTATTAAAAAGGTAGTTAAATGACCAGTGCCAGGGCACCAAACCAGAGAGAATAGTGGAGCCAGAATTCATACTCAACCATCTGATTCTAAACTCATGCTCTCTCCATTCTACTATGCTTCCTTCTAAGCAAACTTCACAGCGGATCTGCCTGTAATTTGTGAGCAGCAAACCAAAGATGTCCACCTAGGTATTTCTTTCTGGCCAGGTATGGTTCTAAGCCTGTCCAGGTAGAGATAGCACAGGCTACAAAACTAGAAAGTTGTCCTCATCGTCCCACAAACACACTCTCAGTAAGAAAGCCTGGAGGACTTTTCACCTGCTCAGAAAGCTTCCTCACTTCCTCTAGAATGGAGGCAACAGGCCGACTCCTCTCCCGGCCACGCGTGAAAGGAACAATGCAGTAGCTGCACATGTTGTCACAGCCTCGCATAATAGACCTGGGGAGAAAAGCACCAGAACTTAGTAACAGCAGCAGGATGTCTTGGTCCAACCCAAGAAGCAGATCACAGCTCCCTTGGCATTATCCTCTGGTTCTGAATTCTCTTGGCAACATGCTAACACTGGACCAGTCTAAGAGATCTAAGAAGCATAAAGGCAGACATTTTTTTATTTTTAAAAACTAGTATCTAACCCCAGGATATAAACCAAACCATAACTTGGGGATATAGTGGTTACCCTGAGGGACCACAGTGTTGAAGGAATGGGGTGTAGACATACCACACCTGGGGTTTCTACTGTTTATATTTATATATTGTTTGAACTTTCACACCTAGATCAGAAAAAATAAATAAATATTATAAAGTATGTATAAGGAGCTGAGATCTTGGATTTAAAACACAGGGATCTGCATTTCTCACTTCTGGTCCAAATACTAAGTATCTAAGTTAAATTACTTTCTTTCATTTGCATCCTATATATGAAAGCCTTAATTTACCTTCAGGAAATAATTATGGATAGATATGTATTAAAGATGTTCACTGAAGAATTGTTAAACAAATGTTATCTATTATTTTTATTAAGCATTCTAACAACAAAGTATTAGACAGCCATTAAAATGATAGAGGTTGGCAAACTTTTTCGGTAAAATACCAGAAAGTAAATATTTTAGGCTTTGCAGTCCATGCTGTCTCTGTCACAACTACTCAACTCTGCTCTTTTAGTGGCAAAAGCAGAGACAGACAATTTATAAACAAATGGACATGGCTGTATTTCAATAAAACTTCACTTACTAAAAAAGGCTGTAGGCCAATTTGCAAATCAAAAATGTAATGACATAAACATTCGCCATTTTTAAATAAGAAAAAGTTATAAAACCAAGTACACCAAGAGCCAATTTTTATAAACACAAACACAAAGCATACACACAAGCACAAAGCAAAAAACAGCAATGATATACATCAAAATGATAANTAAATGAGGAAGCAATCAAACAAATCCAGACATGTCTGATCTCTTCAAAAAATAAATGCATCATTTAAAACAAACAACAAGAAAAAAGTGAAAGGGCTGTTTTAGATTAAGAGATTGAAAAAATATAACAACCAAGAAACCACAAATCTTGATTGGGTCTTGGTTTGAAAATCAAAGAGGAATAAGATATTTGGAAAGAATTAATAAATTTTGAATATGGATTGCATATTAGATAATACTAGTTAATTGCTAAATTTCCTACATGTGATTATGTGCAATATTTTATGGTTAAAAAAGGAAAACTTAGGTGAGAAAAATGCATACTGAAGTACCCAGGGTTAAGTGGCCTGATGTCTACAACTTACTTTCAAAAGGTTCAGAAAAAATATAGAGATAGGCATATAAAGAAAACATGATAGGTCCGGCCGAGTGGCTCAGTTGGTTAAGAGCATGAGCTCTGAGCAACAGGGTCGCCAGTTCGATTCCCACATGGACCAGTGAGCTGCACCTGAGCTGAGCAGCCGCTGAGCTGCCAACAGGTGGCAGGATGGCTCAGCTAAAAACAAAAAACAAAACAACAAAAAAAACCAACCAGGATATAAAACTAAGTAAAATACACACACATATAAAAAAACATAACAATCAAATGCAAAAGAGCTACCAGATAATTGGAAAATTTTGAATATGGGTGGACTAGGATTGAAATATTCAGCAATTTTTGTTAATCTTGTTAGAAGAATTGATGTTATTGAAAATATCCTTAATTTTTAGAGATGCATAATTACTTAAGGGTAAAATGTTATGCTATATTTTGAAATACTTCATCAACAAAAAAATAGATAAAGCAAATATGGCAAAAATTTAACAATTATTGAAGTTAAATGATTATTAGCTAGGGAAGAGGGGTCATAATACTATTCTCTTTTCTGTGCATT